TTTCACGGCTAATAAGAGTCTCATGTTGATCAATTTCAACCACACCTGAGCTTTCGACTTTATTTTCTTCTTTGGAAATTTCCTATAGTGTTGAGTCCTCTTGTCACGAACCCAAGCAGTCATAGAATTGACACCACAGAGAGTGTGTCTCAATGCTTGATATGTAGTAAGGGTGATGAAGTTGTCCAAGGGTTCCTGTGAAACATCCGGATCTCCCAAAAATTACATATAGTTGTTGCCGAAAAATCGATTACTCTTCCCCTAATAGGCACCAGCTGCTCAGGATCATTTGGATCAAAACTGACATAAAACTCCCAAACGAGGTTTACATTGATATCCACGGTGTTTCTAAATACGTAGCTCAAGCCAAGATCATAAATACCTTTCCAAAATGATTGATACTTAGCTTGTAGGTGGCGCTCGTGAACAACTGACTCAGAATGTATATGTCTCGGCTGACAAAGCTTGTACCAGTCCTTGGTAGAGTGTGGTGTGCTATTCAGACCAAATTCTCGTTATCCCTCAGGTTGTGGGCGTGTGGCTTCTATTGCTGCAACTGCTTGCAACCCTTCAACTTGGCTTGAAGTGGCCTCCCCTCTTTTTCTCTTTTTCGATGGAGGTCTGAAAGAAGCCTTGGCCTTAGTAGGAGCAGTAGCCTTGCCCTTGCCTTTACCATCGTCTTTTTTAGGAGGCATATTCGTACCTTCATAAGTGAATATTCCTCAGTGATAAAGCATATGAATCAATTCAAAACATGGTCTTGCGACCCCACTCTTAAGAGTTCACGACATGATGTTCAACCATTTTGAGGCTACTCAAACTTCACCTCTTGAATTTTAGCATGAGAATCAAGTAATGGCAAAATGATGTTTACTATAATTGGGATGCATATAGCTACCAATGAACCAACCTAAACTTGCAATTTGGAGTGGTGCAAGGCGACATAGCACTACTATAACAATCCCGGAGTCTAGAACTCCATTTGGGCAAAGAATGCCTTTGAGGCATTTTGACAAACACTTAGTGTGCACTAATACCAAGTTAGTGCTTGTAGGGATGAGGGATTGCCTCACCCTTCCAAATCGGCTTGGGGATTTCACGTTACCACCCTTGTACACAACAATAATACCAATCCTATGGGGTTAATGGGATTAGGGCTAGCAAGCACATTCTTCCTATGAAGATATACCCAAAAGTTGGGGAATTGCATTCTTTAACTCAATTCGCATTTTTGACAAAGAAAAGAGTTATAAACATACCTTAGATGCTTAGTAGGAGGATTTTCTCTTCAACTGATGTTTCACGTGACTTGAAGGAAAGGGTGTATGAAAGTCTTCAATGGAGTTTGTGTGTGAGAGGGAGGGGAAAAATAGGAGCGGGCAGTAGAGAGGAATTTTTCTATTATGTTTTAATTAATGTGTGTGTGTGTTTTGAGTTATAACCGGTGGGATTAAGAAGTTAAAAAAAATTAAACTTACCTAACCTCGCTATAACCCGTGCACTACGAGGCTAATGTGACACTGACCTCCCTATAACCTGCGCGATGCGAGGCTAACATGAGGTACTGCTCGTTGTATCCCTTGCGACGTAAGGCTAATATGGGGTGCTTCTCGCTGTATCCCGTGCGAGGCGAGGTGAAATACAAGGTGCTGCTCGTTGTATCCCATGCGACGTGAGGTGCAGCTTGTTGTATCCCGCGCGATGCGAGGCGAAACTCAAGGTAATTACCTGGCAATGCGAGGTCTGCTGCCAGGTCTGTTATTCTTTAGTCTTTGTGGCACGGGGTAGATGTCGAGGTCTGGAGCATACTCATGTGATTTGTATTCCGTGTTGTGCCCGACTCCAAGCGCAATGACATCCCAAAGTGCTCTGTAACCTGTTCAAACAACAAAACTTAACTAAAACTTGTTAGTAAGTAAAAGCAAGGAGAAAATTCTAGTTAAGTTAAAATAAACTACGCATTGGGTTGCCTCCCAACGAGCACCTAATTTAATGCCGCGACACGACGCATGCGATCAAACTTAAGGTTCACTCAACAATTGAGGCTCCTTCAAATGAATCACCGATACAAAGTTTTCCTCCTCCATGCCAAGGTAATATTTCAACCTTTGCCCATTGACTCTAAACTTGTTCGTTCCATCCTCGGATTCAATTTATGCAGCTCCACTTGAGAGTACTTGCACCACTCTAAATGGCTCCGGCCATCTAGATTTCAGCTTACCCGAAAATAGATTCAATCTTAAATTATGCAACAACACGGTATCTCCGGGTTTGAAAATCCTCTCTTGAATATGCTTGTCATGCATGATATTCATCCTTTCCTTATACAACATGGTTCTTTCAAAAGCATGGTAATGAAACTCATCGAGTTCTTGAAGTTCTATGACTCTACTCGTACCAGCAGCCTCCATATCAAGATTTAATTGCCTTAATGCCCAAAAAGCTCTATGCTCTATCTCCACCGGTAAGTGACACACCTTTCCGAACTCCAATTTGTACGGTGACATACCAATCGGAGTTTTGAATGCAGTGCGGTAGGCCCATAGTGCATCATCCAATTTTCTCGCCCAATCAGTCCGAGTAGCATTTACAGTTTTGGTCAAAACACTCTTGATTTATCAGTTTGACACCTCAACTTGACCACTTGTTTGTGGGTGATACGGACTGGCAACCTTATGGAGTATGCCATATTTTTCCAGTAACTTTGCGAAGGCTCGATTGCAAAAGTGAGCTCCTCCATCACTGATGATCGCTCTTGGAGTTCCAAATTGGATGAAGATATTTTTTCTTAGGAAACCAATAACTCCTTTTGCATATAGTCCACTGCTTCTAGTATATACTTGTTGTTGTATGAGCTGACAAATGGTCCCATAAAGTCGATTCCCCATACATCAAAAACTTCTACCTCTTGAATTGGGTTCATAGCTCATGTCGACGGGAAATATTCCTCGTACTTTGACACTCATCACAACTCTTAACCCAACAACGTGCATCTTTAAACAACGTCGACCAATAAAAGCCCGACTCAAGCATTTTAGCTATTGTACTTACTCCCCCAAAATGGCCTCCATAAGGTGAAGCATGACATGCCTGCAAAACAGAAGCTTGGTCTATCTCGGGAATACATCTCCGGATCATATTATCAATACAAATCCTAAACAAATACGGTTCATCCTAGAAATACATGTGACAATCACGAAAGAACTTTTTCTTCTGCACAGAAGACACGTCATAGGGAACAATACCGCTTGCTAGGTAGTTTGCAATGTCTGCATACCACGGCGCTACATTAAGGCTCGTGGCCAACAATTGTTTATCTGGGAAAGTCTCCATGATCTCTTCCACCTCAACCTTCATTTCAGCTCCTTCAAGTCTGGACAAGTGATCGGCAACTTGGTTTTCCGTTCCTTTTCGATCATGAATTTCCAAGTCAAACTCTTGTAGTAGTAGAACCCATCGAATCAAGCGTGACTTTGCCTCCTTCTTATCAATTAGGTACCTGATAACAACATGGTAAGTATAAACAATTACCTTCGAGCCTATCAAGTAGGACCAGAATTTGTCAAATGTGAACACCATTGCTAGCATCTCTTTTTGTCACTGTGTAATTCAGTTGAGCGCCATTCAATGTTCTACTTACGTAGTAGAATTGATGCATTATTTTATCTTTTCTCTGTCCAAGTACTGCTCCCACATCATAGTCACTTGCATCACACATCAGCTCAAATATTTGCTCCCAGTCGGGTGCAACTATGATAGGTGCAGACACTAACCTCTTGTTCAATCCCTCAAAAGCTACCGTGCAGTCATCAGAAAATACAAAAGGGTGATTTTTTTCAAGCAATTTACATAAAGGGTTAGCAATCTTGGAAAAACCTTTTATGAACCGCCTGTAAAAACCGGCGTGACCAAGGAAACTTCTTATTGCCTTGACGGAAGTGGGTGGGGGCAGCTTCTCTATTACATCAATCTTGGAACGGTCCACCTCAATGCCCTTACTTGACACTAGGTGTCCCAAGACTATACCTTCATGTACCATAAAATGTCATTTTTCCCAGTTTAGCACCAGATTCGTTTCCAGACATCTCTGCAACACTCTTTTCAAATTCCTAAGGAAATTATCGAAAGAGTTTCCCACCACTGAGAAATCATCCATGAAAACCTCCATTATATCCTCTACAATATTTGTGAAGATGGCCATCATGCACCTTTGGAATGTCGCGGGTGCATTGCATAGGCCAAACGACATTCTCTGAAAAGCGTAAATGCCATATGGATAGGTGAATGACATTTTCTCTCTATCTTTTGGGGCAATAGATATTTGATTATACCCCGAGTATACATCCAAAAAGCAAAAATGAGACCTCTCTGCCAATCTATCTAGCATCTGATCAATCAACGACAAGGGAAAATGGTCATTTCGGGTGGCCTTGTTCAATATTCTGTAATCCATACAAATTCGCCATCCCGTGACTATTTTCGTTGAGATCAACTCGTTGTTCTCATTTTACATAATAATTATCCCACCTTTCTTTGGCACACACTAAACTGGGTAACCCAATTGCTATCAGAGATGGGAAAAATAATTCCCGCATCTAACCACTTGATCACTTCTTTTTTTAGCACCTCTTCTATGTTTGGGTTCAGCCTTCTTTGATGTTCTCTATAAGGTTTGTGCATATCTTCCAGTAGAATCTTATGCATATAGAAGGCCAGGTTGATACCCTTAATGTCTATGATGGTCCAACCGATTGCAGTTTTGCACTCTTTCAACACCTGCAAATGTTGTTCTACTTGTACATCTAACAAACCAGATGAGATAATAATAGGTAAAGTCAAGTTAGGTCCCAAGAAAGCATACCTGAGGTGAGATGGTAGCGGTTTTAGCTCCAATTGTGGTGGCGCTTTGATCGATGGCTTGGCTGGAGGAATCTTTCTTTCTTCCGAGTCTTAAGGCTCAAATTCGAGCTCTCTTTTCTAGTACCCCTGCCCTTGAAGAGCTAACACCCATTTACTTCTTCTAAGTTCACGAGACAAGCTATTAGAGGGTCTTTTGCATTAAGTGCCTCATCATCTTCCTCCATGATCACATCCACTGCGTCTGTCAAAGAGCAATTTGCAAACTCACTGGGTCGCCGCATAGACTTTTGCACATTAAATGTTATTTCTTCATTATTCAGTCTCATCTTGAGCTCCCCCATTTCATAATCAATCAGAGCTCTTCCTGTGGCTAAGAACGTCCTCCCCAAAATTATGGGAATCTCCCCATCAACCTGGCAGTCCAAAATGACAAAATCTGCTGGAAACACGAATTTTCCAACTTGCACAAGTACATCGTCAAGTATACCTGATGGACTTTTCACCGTTCAGTCATCTAACTATAGTAACATGGATGTGGGCCTTGCTATTCCAATGCCTAACTTTTTATAGATAGACAATGGCATCAGATTTATGCTTGTCCTCAAATCACACAATGCTTTGGCGAATGCATAACTACCTATGGTGCATGGAATTGTGAAGCTTCTAGGGTCGGATAGCTTCTCAGCTATAGGTCTTGTCACGACATCACTACAGTTCTGTGTCAATGTGATAATTGCTAAGTCTTGAAAGTCGAACTTACGAGACATCAAGTCCTTCATCATTTTTGCATAATCGGACATCTCTCTCAAATCATCAATTAGAGGAATGTTTAGCTGAATTTGCTTCAGCATTTCCATGAATCTTTTGTATTTCTCATCCTTTTGATATTTGGCCAACCTCTGTGGTAAGGGTGCTGGAGCTCGCTTCTTTCCTATGGCTTGAGTTAGATCTTGCTCAGGCACTTTTTCTAGTGCCTTCTCTTGCACTTTCTCAGTCTCTTCTGCAACCTCTTTTTCCTTGTTTATTTCCTCCTGGGCTGGCTGCACTCTCACTTTTGTTATCTCAGTTGACTCATCTACCTTAATTGGTACTGACACAAGTGTTTTAGTTGATCGGTTCTCACGAGCGATTTCTTGCTCTAAATCAAGATTTCTACCATTTCTCAAACTCACCGCCATAAGCTGATTCAGGACTTGTTCCTTCGGATTGACATGTGTGTCTGCAGGTAAAGTCCCTTGGGGACGATTATTCAAAGCCATATATATCTGCCCTAATTGAATCTCAATGCCTTTTATCACTGATTCATGTGCTTCCACCTTCTCTCACAGTTTTCCGTTAGACCCAATCAGTTGTTGCAGCATTCCTTTAATTTCAGACAATCCATCATCTTGTCTCACTAGTTGTTGTTGTTGAGGCTGTTGATAAGCTAGCTGCTGATTTTGCTGACTGTATCCCTGTTGCCTTTGGTAAGTCACTACTTGACCCTGTAGTTGCATAGGTCCAGGATTGTTGGTGTTATTTTATTGTTGTGCTGGTCTATACTGCTGATTCTGCTGCCCCCAATTTTGACCACCTTGCCTCTGGCCTCCATAGTTGCCTATATAGTTCATATTCTCTTGATAGTTTTGGTTTTCATTTTCACCACTCATCGAGCACACGTATGGTTGGTTAATGCATGGTGTACATAATCCCCCATTAGTCGTGTCAACTATGTGTACCTACTTCTGGCCTGATTCATCAATCTTCTTGGTGAGGATTCTCATTTGCGTCATCAGAGTAGCGATATTCTCGGCTATAGTGTTGTTAGGGTCCAATGCTACTGAGTGAACTATTAGGGTGATTGTAGTGTATCTTGTCATCCAGCCTGAGTTTTGAGCCATTTTATCTAGCAGGACTTTACATTCTCTAAATGACTTGCTCAAAAATGCTCCACCTGCTGAAGCATCAACATTAGCCTTCAAGTTATCTGCCAATCCCATGTAAAACTGTTGTCCCAATATCTGATCCGGAATGCCACCCAAAATAACCACCAAACCGGGTCAACCAGCGGTTATCTTCACCAGTAAAGACTATATGGTCACTCTAGCCAATAGATGCCAATACGCTATTGTGGGCAAATTTCTTAACACTATGCCCAGAATGGAAGTGATCAGAAAAAGCTTTACAACTCAAACTAAGCTCAGAGTAGGAGTTTAAATAGCCCATTTCAATGCCTGAATAGTGTACATTGATCTAGACAATGAGTATGACCACATAACTGTCTAGACCAAACAATTTATGTACATCCAGGGTCAAATAATGAACCTTCAAGCCTGGACTCCCAGCTTCAAGCCTAATGAGGACACCCCAATTGTCCCAGTATGGGTAGTCATTCCTAAATTGCCTTGGCATTTTTATTATATGGAGGTCTTATCAGTCTTGTTGTCACCCATTGGTAAGATATTACATCTGGACCTTGCCTCAATGCAAAAAACTAAGGAAAGTGTAGCAAAAGTGAAGATGCAGGTAGACTTAACTAAGGATAGGCCTCACCATGTATGGCTTGGTTTTGATGATGACCAAGATGTCAATGGGGATGGGCAGTGGTTGGAGGTGATGTATGAAGACCTCCCAACCTACTGTCTACACTGCAGGCATTTGGGACATGAGGAATTCCATTGTTCTATCAGGAAAAGAGATGAGGAGGACAAAAAGAAAGCAACAGCTGAGACATCTGGAAACAATGAGAATCAGAACAATAACAGGAAAGTGCATGCAAGGAGATCTCAACATAACCAGGAACAAGCTGTGCAGGGGCAAAACAAGAATTAAAATTCCAAGCAAAAGATGGTAATGCAAGACCAAAGGGAATATCAACAAAGAAATAAAAATCAAAAAGCAGCAGCTCAACAAATTACAAGGGATAATCATTCCAAAGATCAATGGCACTCTCAAAATAAGAAGAATTTTAGGGGAGTCAACCAAAGAAGCAGGCAACAGAAATTCAAACAGATTACTGAACAAGTAGCTGATGTACAAGAGGCTAACCCTAACCAGAACTCGAGTATTGTTCTTAATTCACAAGCTGATACTCCAGTTGCTCTGGAAAGTGTGAAAGATCACATTCCCAGCCCCACTGTGATTGATGTTGAAGATAATGGAGGAAAGGAGAATGGTCAGGAGATACCTATAGTTGATCAGGTTGGGGATCCAAAGGGGGTGGGTGTTCCTCATGTTTTCCTTGAGTGTGCTGATACAAAAGGTAACCTTAGGATAGACCATTTAACCCCTGCTACCACTCAACAGTCTACTCAGAAGACTCATATTGATGGCATTGAAACAAATGGGGTAATTGGTACTGATGATGATCACAAAAGCACAGTTGACAGAGGCAAAGCTCCCATGGAAAATCAATTGTCCTCGACAAAATCAAAGAATAGTCCAAGTCAGAAAAAAAGAAGGCAAATGAAAAGACAACAGGAAGCTGCTTTGGCTAAAACAAAGATCAACTCTGCAGACAGCTTTACGGAATTTAATGTTCAACCCCATGTTGCACCCTCACCTTTGACTACAGGAGTAGAATCATATGTAACACCATCACCTCATTTGGAGGAAGCAGGTACTATGATTTCTACTGTTTTTTCACTTATGTCTAAGGCACTAGGAACTGGGGCTGACTCTGTTACTCAAATCTAGGCAGAGAAAGTAGGAATTATGTCTCATGTAGCACCCTCACCTATTGTTAAGGAAGTAGGAATTGTCCCATATGTAGCAACCTCACCTCTAATAGAGGAAGTAGGTACTATGGTATTAGTTGCACCCTCACCTTTGCATGAGGCAGCAAATGAGTATATACACATACAGTCTGAGGATGAAGTTGATATTATAAAGCAGATGATGAACATAGTGAAGACTTGAAGGATGATGACACTTGCAGTCATCTTCTTACTGCTTTTAATGGTCATTCTGATACTGCTACAGTCATTGATGCACAAGGACTCTCTCCCAGAAATAAGCCACCACATTACCTCACCAGAAGCAAAGCAACCATCTCTACCCTTCCACCAAAGCATACCCTCCCCAAACACTTTTAATGATTAGTACAATCACATGGAATATAAGAGGTATAAGAACCTCTGAAGCCATTGAAAGACTCAAAACTCTCAAACACCTTCACAAATTATCCTTCATTTGAGTCCTAGAACCTTTCCTTGACAACACTCATATCAACTACTACAGAATCCAATTGTCCATGCATCAAGCAACATCAAATATCAATAACAAAATCTAGATCTTTTGGGATCAAGATTTTACAGGCTTAGTCATTGACCAAGATGAGCAGCAAATAACTGTTGAACTAAAGCATGTAGAAGCAGCTGAAGTTTTTCAGTTAACTATTGTTTATGCCAAGTGTAAAACAAATCTCAGAAGACCACTATGGGAGGTATTGAGGAAGAAATCTTTGACTCGTACCATCCCATGGTGTGTGCTTGGAGATTTCAATGTTATTACATCCATGGAAAAAAATATAGGGGGTCTACCATACCAAATGAGCAAGAGCTTGGAATTCCTCAGTATGATAGAAGATTGTGGACTTGTAGACCTGGGGTTCTATGGTCCTAGGCATACATGATCCAATGGCAGAGGTCCATGATTAATAATTTGGAAGAAATTGGACAGAGGGATGGTAAATGACAACTGGATGATCCCCTTACCAGCTAACATTATTTCATACCTATCCTCCACTAGGTCTGATCATAATCCTCTACTGATGGAGATGAATGTCAGGCAGGATACTAACAAAAAATATTTCAAGTTTCTCAACTGTTGGGTGAAAAATAAAGGTTTCATACCCCTGGTTCATGAAGTCTGGAATTAGGAAGTTAGAGGCAATGCTATGTGGATCTTCCATCAAAAGCTTAAAGCAATCTCTAATACCTTAAGTAAATGGTCTAGGCAGGAATATGGGGACATTTTTCAGAAGGCCAAGGAATATGAAGAAAAAGTGAAACAGGCAGAAATGATTTGGGCTCAAACAAATGATGCAGATGATAGAATGAATTTTCAAGAGGTAACAACTCAATACAGAAAGTACATGAAGTTGGAAGAGTCTATTCTGAAGCAAAAAACACTGCTTCAGTGGTTCAAAGATGGTGATGCAAACTCAAGATACTTCCACAGTTTAATGAGAGGAAGAAGAAGAAAGTTGTTTATCCATAAAATCAAAGACATTGAAGATGAATGGGTGCAAGATGATGAAGCTATAGGGGAAGCTACTTGTGATTACTATCAGGATCTATTTACAGAAACTGGTGGCACTATTAGAGAATAGTTGCTATCCCGTATTCCATCATTTATCACATATGAAGAAAATGACCTCCTCACCAGAGATCCAACTATTGAAGAACTCAAGAAAGTGGTTTTCTCAATGAATCCTACAAGTGCAGCAGGTCCTGATGGCATGAATGGAAAGCTTTTTCAATCCTGCTGGGACATCATCAAGGTTGATCTGCTACAGGTTGTTCTAGCCTTCTTTGGTGGTTCAGAAATGCCTAAGTACATGACTAGTGCTTGCCTAGTTTTGCTACCAAAGGTTGAATTTCCCAATTCCTTCACTGAATACAGACCTATCAGCCTCAGCAATTTTGTCAACAAAATCATCTCAAAGGTTATCTGCTCCAGACTTGGCCCTATCCTTCCCAGAATCATCTTACCCAACCAATCTGGTTTTGTTAAGGGTAGGAGTATTTCTGAAAACATAATGCTTGCACAGGAAGTTGTGCAAGGCATCAAAAAGTCAACCAAAGGGTCAAATATTGTTATCAAGCTGGACATGGCAAAAGCTTATGATAGGGTATCCTAGAGCCTTACATGTATTATGCTGAGAAGAATGGGATTTAATGAAAGAATAATTGACATGATATGGAGAACTATGTCAAACAACTGGTACTCAGTGATCATCAATGGCACTAGATGTGATTTTTCCCACTCTACCAGAGGCTTGAAACAAAGAGATCCACTGTCCCCATCTTTGTTCATCATAAGAGCTGAACTACTTTCTAGGATGCTCAACAACCTCACCCATGATCAATTCTTTAATGGCTTCTACATGGAGAGGAGGGCTCCACAGGTCAACCATCTAAGCTTTGCAGATGACATCATAATTTTCACATCAGGAGGTAGAGCATCACTGCAGAAGATTATGGAGGTTCTCATCAATTATGAACACACATCTGGGCAGCAAATCAACAAGCATAAAATCCACTTCATGGTTTCTCCT